GGTAATAGAACTATGCACACCTATCTATATGTTGCACACCTATCTATATGTTAAGAATTAAGGTTGCAGATGGACATTGGCCCTCAACTCAAGTACTCCCTTAACACAAGAACACTTTGTTCTAACAATCCAGCATACTGTGATGCTCACCTTCCCGACACAATCGCTGAAGACAAAATGGGTGTATAAGCAATGTGATGAACAAGGCTGACAGTGCCTGGCTATCAAAAGATAGCATCTGGCCTCTTAATGGCTTGAAGATAAACAAGTGGACATCTAGTTGAGAGGCAACAAAGCCCACATGGAAAAAGCATACCAGCCTGTGCGATCATGAGGTGTCCATGGGATCAGGTATCAGGCATCTAAGACCCAGAATAAAACCATACCCAAGGTGAATGGGGAGGGGCATGGAGTGGAGACCCAATGTCCATCTGTAGATAATTGAACATCCTCTCTCAGAGGGGTCACAGGGAAGAGATGAGCCAGTCAGGATACAGTATAGCACCAGTGAAACACACAACTTTCTATAGTTCTTTAGTGCTTCCTTTATCCCACTATCATGACTTAAATTCTACCTTACAAATCGGATTAGACCAGAACATGCATACTGCTACAGATAAGAGCCCACAACACAGGGAATCCAGAATAGATAAACCCCTCAGGGACAACAAGGAGAGTAGAGATACTAGGAGGATTAGGGTGGGGAGAGAAAGGGGAAACCAATCATAAGGATCAACCTAGAACCCACTTCTAGGGGGATAAATAACAGAACAGTGGGTGAGGAGCAACAGAGGACAATGCAAGATATGGAAAAAATAATCTATAACTTATCAAGGGTTCGCGAGGGAGAGAGGGGGAAAATGGGGAGCAGATATCAGGGGGCTCAAGTGGGAAGAGAATGCTTTGAAAATGATGATGGCGGCATATATGCAAATGTGTTAGACACACTGGAGGAATGTATGGATTGTGATAAGAGATGTAAGAGCCCCAATTAAAGTATTTTTTTAAAAAGAAGATGGTAATGGAATATTTTCATGAACATTTTAAGCTGCTATTTTTCTAAAACTGCTTTTAAAAATATTGCCTGGTCCATTGTTGCAGCCATTTTGTCAGTCTATCTCCTTGGACTTCATCATTTTCAGAACTCTGCTAAAAAAGTATGATGTCGTACATCATATCTTGTATGTTAAGGAGGCAGGATTAAGGTGGGCTATATCTTGAGTCGCAGCCTTACAGGAGGGTGTAACTCAAGCCTCACACATACTCAAGATACTTTCTGGCTTGAGTCACACTTTTTATGTTAGCAGAAAGAGAAGAGAGCAAGAACATCAACAACAAAGTTGAGAGAGCCAGGTTCTGCACTGAGAACCTCCTACACCTAGGGGATGGATGATTGATGCCAAGTTACCAAAGAAGTATAAGCCCACCGATGTTTAAAAGAGACAAGGATCTCTCCTTGGGGCCAAAAGACATAGGGAGAGCCTTCTAGAGCGGGCACACTGAATTCAGATTGCTAGCCTCCTAAACTACGAGACAATCAAGTATAATGCAGTTATCCAGTTATGGTATTTCTGTTCTAGTAGTCCTAGAAAATAAGTAACTTGATTTGGAGGTTTAAGGTCATGGTTTTATAGAATATCTAAGTTAAGGGGTCTAATAATGTGCTTACTGCTTCTGTTCTGTCTCCTAGTTCTCTGCACAGTGTCTGGATCTTAAAAGCTTGCAAGAGGTCATCCAAGGTAAACGTCTCTTCTACTCACTTGGAATAATTGAGGAAGAAGAGTCAGGAGGAGATGGAGGGAAAGGAAAGTGTGATTAACTGTCTCCAAAAACTACTATCTCCTTTGACAGGAGACCACAAGAACTGAAGGGTGTTTGGCTACCATTCAAGAACATTTTGATCAAAGATGCCACAGAAGACACATGATCAGGGGAGAAACGAACTAGCACAGTGGCTGGAACAATGAATTCACACACAATTATGAAGAAGGCACAGGACCAGGCAATGCTTTGATCTGTTCTACATAATGACATTATGAATTGGAATTATGATTACAGTCTGTGAGTTCTGTGAAAGATTACAGGGAATTTTCAAAGCCAACCCCAAAAGAGTGGGAGGAACACCTGAAGTCAGAAAGAATGAAGAAAAAGGAAAGGGGGAATATACTTCAGCCTTGCCTCATAAGAACCAACTTTATACTGATTATGATTTGCAAAATTATCCTTTCATCTCATTAGTATTCCTTCAGTGGAAAAAATCAGGAACCACTTTCACAAGTAATTCCTGCCATAGACAATGATACCCTTGTTTGAAGTTTCTAACATGCAGTTACACAGCTGAATTAGCTTTACCTTACCTGTTAAGAGTAGCACAGTGACTTTGAAATAAAAATCACTGGAACTAAAAATTCTTCTGGCAAAAGGTCCAGTTAGTGAAACACTGATCTTGGCCAATAATTAGGAGTAGAGAATTGTACATAGATGAACAGGTAGACAGTTTTTATCATAGTGATGAACAACTTGTAGAATTTATAATTTAATAGTAGCACTTTTTACAATCATTTACATCTAATATATGACTACTAACTTGCTTAATAATAAAACCTGTTTCTCTTCTTTAATATCTGCCTCAAACAGCTTTTACAAGAGCAGTATAGACATACAGCAAAGTTCAAAAGACAGCTGGCTAACCAGGTTTATCACAATCACATTTTCAGTTAATTATCTTAGAGAATTTTAATTCAGCATGACAACCAAATATTCCAAATAATGTAGGCTTCAATAAAGTGTTGAATTTAAAATTAGTGCTTACTTCTTTGTGTCATCTCAGTGCGTGTTAGGTCCTCTGTTTTCTTGGAGTACTTTCTTATGCTGATGCCAATAAGGGTACTCAGAAATGAAAGTTCGGATTCTAAACGTCCAAGCGGTCTTCTCAAATGTGTTGCAGACTCCCATCCTTCAGACTTTGGTTGATATATATTTTTTAATGATTTCCTAAAAATAAAATACAAATATTTCATTTAATATACTAAATTTTCTTCAAACCATTTTGGTTTTGTCCCATTTATTCTCTTCCCATTAAAAATTTGAGAAGAAATATCTAAAAATCAATGTGGATACCAACAGAGTAAAACTTAATACAAATATAACTACTAAATTGTCCTAACGTCTTTACAAATAGGAAACATCTTTAAAATAAATACTTACCAGAGTATTTTGCTAAGTTAATGTGTCAATTCTGATCCAGAAATTTCCAATCTAATGTGTGATATACCAAAGTATCTCACATATTGAAAAATGTTTTAAAATTAAAAACCAAACCTTACTAGGTAACTTTTATTTCTAAAACAAATAAATATCATAGTGTAGTGGTTATGTGTTGGGCTGTGATCCAAATAGCAGTTTGGGACCACCAGCAGTTCCAAGACTGTTCCTGTAAACAGTTAATGGTTTGGACCCATGTGGTAGGGGCAGGGTGTGGCAGCGGGGTGTCAATGTGACTGACTACGCAGCACTCCAGCACATCTGGGAAGGCCAGGCCTTAATGCTCTCAGGAAACTGAGCCATTCTCTCATTTGCCTCTGTCAGTCTTTTAGTTAGTTCAGGCAGAGAAACGGGTTTGGTGTCATCTTCTTTACTACTCTGGCCCTGAGGACTAGACAGGGGGTTTTCTGCCTTCTGCGCAGACTCACTGGAGTCAGAACCGTTCACGGTGGGCTTACAGAGCTGACTCTTCTGGTGCTGGCGGATCATTTCCGCCAAGGTCTCCTGGACTTCAGCAACGGTTCTCTGCGAGCTATGGAGACTGGCACGCTGTTCTGATATGAGCTCCCGACATGTGCCCAGCACCCGCTCACTCTCTTCTGTGAGTCTCAAGCCCAGCGCTGGGGGCTGACTTAGCTCTGGTGGTACACTGTGAGTGGTAGGGGCGGAGAGTGGCAGCACTGACTCAAAGCTCAAAGGCAGTGAGTATATATTTAGTAGGAGTAGGAAAAACATAGTCACCATATTTCAAGCTGAAAGAATTGAAGAAGAAAGTCAAGTCCTGGCTTGCCATACTGGAGGATTTTATAGGCAAAATATTGAATGATGAAGGAAGCATCAAAAAAAAAAGATGGAAAGAATTTTTTAAAAAGTCACTGTACCAAGAAGAATTGGTAGACATCAAGAGGTACCATATCAAGAGGCAGAATAGATTGAGGGCCAACAGAATTAAAGGAAGAATTCCAAACAGCACTGAAGGTATTAGCAAAAAAAAAAAAAGGCTCCAGGAACTGATAAAATACAAATTGAACTATTTCAATACAGCACTCGAAGCACTCACTGATTTATGCCAAGAAGTTTGGAATTTAATTACCTGGCCAACTGACGTAAGAGATCCATATTTATTCCCATTCCAAAGAAAAGTGACCCAACAGAATGAGGAAATTATTCAACAGTATTATTAATATCACATGCAATAAAAGTCTACTGAAAATAATTCAAACACGCTTAAAGCTCTCCACTGACAGCTGGAAGAAACTCAAGGTAGATTTAGAACAAGATGTGGTGTGAGGGATATCACTGCTGAAGTCAAATGAATACCAACAGAAAACACCAGAAAGATGTTTACTTGTGTTTTATTGGCCATGCAAAGGCATTTATTTGTGTGGATTATAACACACTCTGGATAACGTTGAGAATGGGAATTCCAGAACACTTCATTGTATTCTGGAAATCAATGTGGAACCTGTACATGGCCTAAGAGGCAGCTATTCCAAAAGAACAAAGGAATACTGCATGATTTAAATTAGGAAAAGTATGCATCAAGGTTGTAACCAAAAGTTCTTTTTCAGTTACCATATTTATTCAATCTGTATTCTGAGCAAATAACCCAACATATTGGACTATATGAAAAAGAGTGATTGCATCAGGATTGGGGAAAAGCTTATTAATAAACTCCAATTGATAAAACAACCATGCTTGTTGGAAATATAGGAGGACTTGAAGCAGTTGCTAATGAAAATCAAAGACTGCAATCTTCAGTATGGATTGCAACTGAAGGTAAAGAAAACAAAAATCCACACAACTAGATCAATATACACCAATCATGATAAATGGAGAAAAGATTGAATTTGTGAAGGATTTCATTTTGCTGGAATCCAAAATTAATGCTCACGAAGCAGTTAAGAAATCAAACAACGCACTGCATTGTACAAATCTGCTGCACAAGACTTCTTTAAAGTGTTGAGAAAAAAGGAAGGCACTTGGAGGACTAAGGTGTGTCTGACCCAGGCCATGGTATTTTCATATGCATGAGACAATGGCTAAGGAAGACTGCAGGAGAATCAATGCATCTGAATTATGTTGTTAATGAAGAATATTGAAAATGTCATGGACTGCCAGAATAACCAATAAATATGTGTTAAAAGAAGTATAGTCAAAATACTCCTTAGGAACTGAGGTGCGAGACACGACATCCCCTCACTGACCCACAGTGTTGCAGGGAACAGCACTGAAGATACAGTGTGGGAATTGTGCCCAGTCTGACACCCCACTCCATGGCAAAACATGAAGGGAGTGCAAGAAAGCAGCAAAAGGAGCAAAGCAACAAAGTCCCTGAGGAATCCTGAAAATAGAAATCAGACTAGGAGGCCAGGGCTTGGCACCTCATCACACTCGACTGGAAAGCATTCATAAGCGTCAGCAGAAAGACCTGGAACTATTTATAGTCATCCCCCCCTCCCCCTCTTTTTCCTTGAACAAGGGACCATCTAGCAGGGAAGCAATAAAGCCTAGATGAAAGCAAAACAGCCTGTGTGATTGCAAGGCATTGATGGAATCAGGTAGCAGAAGACCCAAAACAAACATTCATATTGATGCGGAGGAGGGGGGTCGGAGTGGAGACCAAAGCATATCTGTAGACAATTGGACATCCCCTCACAGAAGGGTCACAAAGAAGGGATGAGCCAGCCAGGATGCAGTACAGCACTGAAGAAACACACAACATTCCTCTAATTCTTTAATGCTCTCCACCCCACTCTATTATGACCCCAATTCTACCTTACAAATCCAACTAGACCAGAGCATGTAAAATGGGACACATAAGAATTCTCAACACATGGAATCTAGGATAGATAAACCCTTCAGGAACAATAATGAGAGTAGGAATACCATGAGGGTAGGGGAAAGGTGGGGAGAAAAAGGGGAACTGATCACAATGATCGATGTATACCCTCCCCAAGGGGACAAACAGAAACCTGGGTGAAGGGAGATAGCAGTGTAAAATATGAAAATAATTTATAAATTTTTCAAGGATTCACGAGGCGGGCGGGGGGAAGGAAAAAAGAAGAGCAGATACCAAGGGCTCAAGCAGAAAGAAAATGTTTTGAAAATGATGGCAACATAGGTACAAATGTGCTTGATACAACTGATGTATGGATTGTTATAAGAGCTGTAAGAGCCCCCAATAAAATGATTTATAAAAAATCAAAACAACAAAATTCCTCCATTGGATTCTGCTGCATAACCTGATTCCCCTTAAACATCATGTGTCCTCTACTGTCTATGAGTTGCCTCCAATCTTAGACAAAAATCCTAAGATTCTGATCTCTATTTTACTGATTATATGGAATGCATTAAGTCATAGCTCCTCTCTGCAATAACTTCCTAAAACCCCCTAAAATATACCTCTAATCATGTTTCTTCTTCCTGCAAGGTTATTGTTGTTACTTGTCATCAAATTAGCCCCCATAATTGGTTACAGATCAGACAACTGTAATTTATTCTTAGTAAAGTAACATGGAAACTATCACTGACAGAAAGGTATTGGCTACACATGAGATCTATTGCCTGGGAATCAAACATGGGTCTTACATATGTAAGGCAAGAATTCCACCATTGAGTCATGAATATGTAAAACATGTTACTACAGAATCAATTCCAATTTATAGTACACTTGTAGTACAATTGTAGTACACAGAACTACCTCTTAGGGACTCCACAATTTTACTCTTAACAGATCAGATTCCTTAATCTTTCTCCCACGGAGAAATTGGGTTTGAACTGCCCACCTTTTGATTAGCAACTGAGCACTTAGTCACTGTTTCACCAGGGCTCCTTACCAATGCAGAAGAGAATGAAACACTATCCAGTCCTGGCCCATCCTCACAGTACTTGTTATGTTTTAAGCATATTGTTGCAGTCAATCCATCTCATTGTGGGTCTTTCTATTTTTCTGTTCACTCTTTACCAAAAATGTTAACCTTCTTCAGGAACAAATCCCTCATAATAACATGTTCAAAATACACGAATCTCGCCATCCTCAATTCTAAGGAGCATCCTGACTGTACTTCTTCCAAGGCAAATTTGTTTGTTCTTCAGGCCCATTCAAACCCGCTGCAATCAGAGTTGGTTCCAAATCATAACTTTTTTAGGCAAAGTACAACTGCCTCTGGGTTTCTATGGCTGGAAAACTGAACAGAGGCAGAAAGCCTCATTTTTTTCGCGAATGGCTGGTGTTTTTGAATAGCTGACCACAAGGGTAGCAGTCCAAAGAATAACCAAAAATGGAAGAAGCACACAACCTGTGTGATCCAAAGATGAGGACAACAATATCCAAATAGGATGAAGTGATAAGTATCAGAAATTAAGTTGTGAACCATCTAATTTGTGGAAGGCTACTGAAAATAGTGGGAGCCCAAAATCTATCTGCAGAGTATCTAGTCAGATTAAGCCTCTGACAGATCCCCTCTAACTACAAATAAGGGACCAAGCAGCTTTATTATCAGACAGAGTATTGTAAACTTGATTGTGGTGTATCGAGGATGGTATAATATGATACTTGGTCAGTTGACATCCCTCTGGATCTAATCTAAATTTGTTCTAGAACAGAAATTTCTCTTTTAAAATATTGTTGGTGGTCTTTTCTTTCATATTCTTTTTTGAAAATCATTTTATTAGTATTATTATTTTCTTCTTTTTCTTTTGTGTTTGTTTGCTTATTGTTTCTGTCA